GGTGCATCAAATATGTAGTCGATCCCCCACTCGAAAGTTAACCTCCTCTGCTCCTGCTTCGGTTGCCGCTGCCACTGCGTGACGCTGCTGCCTCTCATCGCGTGCCCTCTCCACCTCCCACGTCACTGGCCCCTGCCTCCTCCTCCTCCTCCTTCTCCTCCTCCCTCTCCTCCTCCTCCTCCTAGTCGGCGTTGGAGGCCCAGGCAATTTGAGCTCCGACGGAGAAAGGATTTTCATTGGAATTCGCTCACACGGCTTCCGCCCCATACATTCTCCAATCCCAGTCTGGCGGGCGAGAAGGAGTATGGGGGGGAGGAGGAACGGAGAGAAGAAACAATCCTTGCAGCCACTCCCATACCGTACTTTCTGCGGCGCCTTCTCGCGTGACAGGGTTGTAAGCTGGTGACGGAATGTTCTTGTGCCGCAACTTTCCATGTCTATGGGGGATTGGAGGACGGTTTTGAACAAAAAATAAAAAGAAAAAAAAAGACAAGCCAAAAACGCAGAGTACGGATCCGCCGTACCCATGCTCGGACATGCCAGATTGCTAGGATTGCCCTGTGCGAGCAATTGGTTTATCATGTGCCGTCGCTAGACAGCAGTTACCAGAGGGAAGGTGGAGGCCATGAGGTTCGGAGGCAGCCGGAGGGTGCCAATGAAGAGCCTCGACTACCCCCCCAACGATTCAAAACCTTGGGAACAGCTGTGCCAGGAGTTTGGCCCTGTAGCAGCTGAGGAGCCAAAGGAACAGAGAACTATTTGTTGGGAAAAGATGACGCTGGAGATAGAAGATCAATTGCGGCAGTGGAACCCCGCTGGCCCAGCTCTGCATTCGCTTGCCCGTCGGCGAGATAAGTTCAACGACGGAAGCCAGCGGGAACGTGAATGGCGGCGAGGATCGGAGGCCGTTGGCTCTCACCAGTGATGAACCTCGAAAACCTATGGCCGCTCTGTTGGAGGACAAGAGTCATCGGCCGCCGCAGTGCAGATGAAAGCAGGCGACAAAGAGGGAAGATGGAGGCCCCGAGGTGCAGAGGTCATTGGCATCTGCCGATGATGGACCTCGAAAGCCCATGGACTCCCGAGGGGAAACGGACGAGAAGGATATCTGGAAAAATGGAGGCCAACCCAAATTTCTGGAAAGGTTGACCTAGGAGATCGACACGTTTGTTCGCCGCCAGATAGAGAAGGTCTGGGAAGGCGGAGGCCCCGAAGTTCAGAGGCCACCGACTGGTGCCGATGACGATCTTCGAAATCCCATGCTCCTCAATGGCGACCCTGAGATCGCAACGCTTCTGAAATTCGTCAGTCATACAGCGACCAATGAAGGAGGCACGGAGAGCGACTAACACTTTGCACGGAAATGGGGATGTCCATTGAAGAAATTGTTGAAGTAATACGATTTTTGTTTCGCAGAGGGATTGTGCAGGTTCGGAGGAGGTGCAGAAGGAGTAGGAAGCTGAGGCAGAGGGACCGGCAACCTTACCTAACGGGGGCTCCCTCGGACCTCTTAGTGGTTGAAGACACAGTTAGCACAGGGTTTGTCATAGGAAAGAGGACACGGATGCGCAACGGACGAACTGCGGACGGCATTGTTGTCATTATTTGGAACAGTTTTGGCCATTGTTTTTCTGCGGATGAATTTCGGCGCACATTGGTTTCCAGCGGCACACTGCGCACTGAGGCAGAAGTGGAATTGGTTCTTTCGGGGTGGGAAAGCGTTGGTGGAATTCTTGCCAGGGTGGGAATCACATGCACAACTGCTACCCCGTGAGGATTACGCTCTCTCAGAATGGGCAAGTCTCGCCCTCGTTCAATCTTCTGCGCGCGCCGCGTGTCTCCGCATACGTTCTTGGATGCGCGTGGCCCTGCAGAGAATGGGAAGAGCGGAAGCAGAGCATTCCTGAGCGCATTTGGCGCGGGAAGCGGAATCAGAGCGCGTTTGGCGCGGGAAGCATCTGTCGAGGCGTAGTAAGTGGAGAGCACGACCGAGGACATCTCGGAGTGCTGGAGCTTCTGTGGAGGCGGGGGGGGGAGAGGGGGTTGTCTCGGAGTGCAGGAGCTCTATCTTGCAAATTAAAGAGGGGTTCAGGGACCCCCCTACTCGGGAACCCTGTTCGCCAGCATTTCCCCCAGAGAGGGCACGCGAAAAGGCCAGCAGCTGTTCCCCTCGCGCTGACCCGTAGGGACTCGTCTGATTCAGCGAGCCCTTCCTACCGGGCCACCTCTGAATTCGCCCTCTTGAGCGCAGGAGTCTGCCCCCTGCCTGCCCCGTGAGAAGTCTTGGGCTGCGGTGTAATCTAATCGCCGGGGATCTTGCTAGTTGCACGCGCAGCTCCTTCGTAGATTCTGACGTTGACCCCGTTACGCGGATGACCGTGACCATGACCTCCTTCTCCTCGTCCAGCTACTGGTTGCCATGCCACCGCTTTCCTCTCGGGCCCCCCCCGTTTTCCTCTCGCTCCCCCGCCCCCCCCCGTCCGTCCTCCGCCTCCTCCATCTCGGGACGTCGGCGCGCGCGCGAAGGCTCCCCAATCTGCCACGGAGCTCGCCGCAGGCAGGGGAGGCATGGGGCGGTGGCCGGGTCCCAGAACGGAAAGCGCACTCCCACCCCACCTGGCTTCCTTCCTGCCCCTGGGGCCGGGCCACAGGGCTTCGGCTCCCGAGGGCGAGGATGCCTCACAAGGAGAGAGGCACGGCCAGTGTGCCCACACCTCCCTTTGAGCCCTCTGGGTGCAGGGCCAGGTCGGGCTGAGGGTGCTCGTTTGCTCCCCCACCTCCTGCCTTGAGTTCCGGTTCCGCAGCAATCCTGAGACACTGTCGGGTTGGATCGATCCGTGAGGGTCCTGGGGGCCGAGGCCGGGCGAGAGCGCCTGGCGCGAGCAACATCGCAGCGCCCGGATCTCCCGGTGCGTCCCCGCACCGTCCCTACACATCTCCCTAGCTCCCCAACCCCTCTCCTCGCCCCCTCGGGCAAGGGGCTCTGCATGAGCGGGTTGTGGGGGTGCTTCGACGAGTTCAACCGTATCGAGCTCGAGGTGCCCCTCGCCGCCCGCCCGCCGCGGGGGCCCCTGGCCCCCCCCGCCGCTCCAGGCTCTCCTTCCTCCTCCTCCTCCCCTTCCTCTTCCTCCTCCTCCTCCTCCTCTTCCTCTTCCTCCTCCTCCTCCTCCTCCTCCTCCTCCTCCTCCTCCTCCTCCTTCTCCTCCTCCTCCTCCTCCCCCCTCTTCCTCCTCCTCCTCCTCCTCCTCCTCCTCCTCCTCCTCCTCCTCCTCCTCCTCCTGGTCCTCCTCCTCCTCTTCCTCCTCTTCCTCCTTCTCCTCCTCCTCCTCATCTTCCTTCTCCTCCTCCTCCTCCCCCTCCTCCTCCTCCTCCTCCTTTTCCTCCTCCTCCTCCTCCTCCTCCTCCTCCTCCTCCTCCTCCTCCTCTCCTCGTCCTCCTCCTCCTCCTCCTCCTGTTCCTGTTCCTGTTCCTCCTCCTCCTTTTCCTCCTCTTCCCCTCCTCCTTCTGTTCCTCCTCCTCCTCCTCCTTCTCCTCCTCCTCCTCCTTCTCTCCCTGTACCCACCTCCTCCTCCTCCTGCTCCTCCTCCTCCTCCTACTTTCTCCTCCTCCTCCTCCTCCTCCTTCTCCTGCTCCTCCTGCTCCTCCTGCTCCTTCTCCTCCTCCTCCTCCTCCTCCTCCTCCTCCTTCTCCTATGTTTCTTTTTATTGTTATTAGTAGTAATTCTACTAGTATTGTTATTCGTGTCATTCTTCTGACTATTACTATTAGTAGCATCATTCTTAGTATTACTATTACTATCATCAGTATTAGTATTGTTATTATGATGATGCTGATGATGAGGTTGATGATGCTGATGATGACGAGGATGAGGATGAGGATGAGGATTCTTATTATCATCGTTATCATTATTGTGTGTATTAGTATTATTCTTAATATTATTAGTAGTATCGTTGTTATTATTATTGTTCCTCCTCCTCCTCCTCCTCCTCCGCCTCTTCCTCCTCTCCCCTCCTCCCGTAGCCATTTTGGCTCAAGGCCGTCCCCTCCGTGGGATCTCGGACTTGGGCCGAAATGGGTCCCACAGCTGTTTCGCCCAAGGCCCCCTGGCCGAGCACGGCGCCGCCCGCGCCTGACGGCGTCCATCCATATCTATGCAATGGTTGGGACTGCTCAGCCTCCTGCCGCTGCTGTGCGCAGTCGCCATGCCGCACACGCCATCCCTGGCGGCCTCGTGCATCCGCACCTGCCGAGGGTTGCAGCGTGGTCGCGCTCGCCCACGCGGAGCAGCATGCCGCCACGTCCCTCGTCTTCATATGCTCGTCCCTGGTGCCGCGGCGGCACGCTCGGCCGATGGCGATCCCATCCACGCCGAGCTAGCACACCAACGTCACATGCCGAACGGGCTGCTCCCGCTCTACCCGCTGGGCGTCTGCGGCAGCCACGAGCTCCAGGCGGTCGCGAACTTCATCCAGCGGCGTCGTGTGCCTGCTGGGCTTCATGATGGTGCTGGACCTCCGCGCGCTGCGGTGCCTGTGCGAGCAGTCCTACGACACGGGGCTGGCCCTCTTCCTCCGCCTGCACGTCAAGCTCACCTTGCCGCTGAGCCCGATGCCGATGGTGTCGCTGGCGATCTTCTGCATGACCCACGCCACGTTCCTGGAACCGCCCTTGGCCGTGTTCCCCGTGGCGATGCCGCGCCCGGAAGCTCCACGCAACGGTGCTGGACCGTTACCACAACACGTTCTTCAACATGGAGCTGGGCCTCTTCCTCGGCGTGGCTCTGGCGCTTCTGAACCTGCTTTGCATGCCACTGCCGCTGGTGGTGTCCGTCCTCCTGACGCTGGTGATGCTCCCGATGCGCTTCGGCCCTTTGTGCATGCCGCTGCCGCTGGTAGCGCCCGTCTTCGTGGTGTACCTGTCCTGCGTGCCGCTGCCGCTGGTGGCGCCCGTCCTCGTGATGCTGGCATCGCCAGCATCGCGATGCAGCCCTTTTTCCGCGAATGGCATCGGGCCGCACGGCGCAAGACGCTACTCCAGAACAGGCCGTTCATCCGCTGCTTCGACGCGTGGTTTGACCTTGTGTTCGACGCTTCCCTGTCCTCGGAGTGCGACCCGACCGTCGAGGATACCGCTGCACATGATGATCCTGCTGCTGGTGGCGAACCAGTCCACGACGACGCCGCCGAGCGTGGCGAACAACCTGTTCTCGCAGCACATCCTGCCCATCGTCCTGGCGATCCTGATGCTGCCGCTCGCGGCGCTCGACCCCTACACGATGCACATGCCGATGCGGCCGCTGTTGGTGTGCCAGGGCACGATGACGCTGCCGCTGGTGCCAAACGGCTTGTTCTCGTAGTATATCCTGGCCTTCGCCCTGTCAAGTCTGACGTTGCCGCGCGTGGCGCCCGACACCTACTTTTTGAATCTGCTGGTGCTGCCAATGGTGGTGAACAAGTGCACGATGACGCTGACGACGCCCCTGATGCTGCCGCTGTCCTTCCCGATGGAGCCCAGCATGACTGGGCAGCTCCTGGCATGCCGTTCCTTCGACGCTCGGACCTTCTGCAACCGCACTGCTGCAGTACGACTCTCGCTTGCCGTGTAGTTAAACTGGTGCGCCGAGCTGCTGAGCCTCATCATGAAGCGCCACGGGGCGCTCGAGTGCATGATGTTGCCGCTGGCACTGCCGCTGCTGTCACACGACGCCAACGCGAAGCCCTTCTTCCCGCAGCCGCTGGTGATGACGACCACGAGTGGGGAACCTGCTGGGACTACGAGCGCAAGGGATGGCACGGATCGGCTGACGCTACCCATCCCACACAACCCGAAGAAGCTCAGCATGATGCTGCACGCGATGATCTGCCGCCTGGAGTGGCTGCTGCTGCTCATGAGGCCCCTAGGCCACCCGCCATGAGCCTTCCGTCTGGCTCACCCCACCCCTCTCCGTCCTGTCTTCACTGCCACCCATCCCTGCTTTCCCCGCTTTCCAGCATTATCCTCACGATGCACATTCCGCTCCCAGTGTATGGCCCCATGCTCCGCGCAGCATGCGCGTGGCCAGAGCGAAGAGCGCCGCCAAAAACACCGTTCTGGAAGTAGGCTGAGCCGCGGCGGGACGCGAGCAGACATCTTGCCCTCGTCTCGCGTCTTGCCCGCTTGCCCTTTTCTCTTCCTCTTTGAGTTCGTGCATTCCTCCTCCTCCCTCCTCCTCGTCCTCCTCCTCCTCCTCCTCGTCCGTATCCTCCTCCTCCTCCTCCTGCGCTCCTCAGGCCTGCTGGCCCCCTTCTGAGTTGTTGTTTTCCTCCTGCTTCCTCGGGTGATCGGGGTTTCTCGGATTCTTCTTCGGATGCTCTTCTTGCTCAGGTGTTCGGGCAGGGTTGTGAGGGTGTCCACTGTCATGGCATCCACAATGTGATCGGATTGGGAGCCTTCCTGGGGCCCACCCAACAGATCTGTTCGATTCCAGTCCGTTTCCAGTTGGACTCAGGTTCGGCTCGAGGTCGACTCAAGGTTGACGCAAGTTCGACTCAGGTTAGACTCAGGTTCGACTCGAGCCGACGGGCGTTCGACGCAGCTTCGACGCCCGAGTGGATTGAGTGGCCTCTTCTTCTCGGAGCCTGGAACAGAATATATACATTGTCGGTGGCGGGCTGTTTTTTCAATCCCAGGGCTTTTTGGGGGTCGGGGACGACGTCGGGGAGGTATGGTGTATATATGTTTCCCCGCTTTCTCTGGGGAAAAAAAAACAGATATACACCAGGATTTCATATATCAGGATCCGCTCCATTACCTGTACGACCACCCTTCGGGTGATAAGGAGGTTGTGGGGAAAGGGGAGAGAAGGGGAGAGTCAACATCTGATTAAATCGATTTCACGATCGATCTCACTCAGGGGGACACCACTGGACATCACGGGACACCACAGGACACTTGTCGATCTCACTATCGATCTCACTCAACGGGACACCACGGGACACTACGGGACACTTGTCGATCTCACTATCGATCTCATTCAACAGGCCACCGCGGGACACCACGGGACACCGCGGGACACCTGTCGATCTCACTATCGGTCTCACTATCGATTTCACCATCGATCTCACTCACCGCAACACCACGGGAAACCACGGGACACCGCGGGACACCACATCGATCTCACTATCGATCTCACTATCGAGTTCACTCAACGGGACACCACGGGACACCACGGACACTTGCCGATCTGACTATCGATCTCACTATCGATTTCATTTTTTTGGTTGGGACACCACGGGACACTTCGGGGCACCACATCAATCTCGGTATCGATCTCACTATCGATCTCACTATCGATCTCACTATCGATCTCACTATCGATCTCACTATCGATCTCACTATCGACACCACGGGCCACCACGGGACACCACGGGACACCGCCCGGCCCACCACGGGCCACCACGGGACGCCACGGGACACCGCCGTGCCCGGGACACCACGGGCCACCCCGGGACACCCGGGACACCGTCTGGTCCAACGGGGACACCTCCCGGCCACCGGCGGACGGGAACGGACTTTCGCTCTTACTTCGGCCTAGCTACAGGAGGATCACGCGCAGCTTCGCTTCGCCCGCACGCACGACACGAACACGAAACCGAAACCGAAACCGATCTCAAGGCGGGGGGTCTCCGTTCCACTGCGATCTCACCACCCCCCACCCTCCGATGCAAATTTCCGCACAGGGCCGGAAGAAGCGTCGGTGCACAAAGTTCGGTTCCCCACGTTTTCTTTCGAAGCGTCCCTGGCCCCTCTGCCGCCGCCCGGGGCCGCGAGCGTGGCTCGGGCCATGATCATCTGTGGGCCCCGCTGCTGGACGCCTGCCCCTTTCCACGCCGTGCTCTACAATGCATCGCGCACCCTTTCGGGATCACTGCCCTGCTCGGCATCCGACTCTGCGAGTAGAGAGGGGATCTGCGCCATAGTGGGGGATGGGAGGGAGGGGTAGGATGTCAGATATGACGCGAGCGCACCTAGCTTGGGCCACCCCCTCCCCCCCCCGCCCTCCTCCTGCTCGCGCACTGACTTTCGAGTTCGTGATTTACCAGCCTGGAACATATCCCTGTCCCGATGCTGGGCACCTCCTCATCACGATGCCAATATTAGGGATTCCCTTATCTTTTGAGGGCGAATCCCTAAGATTATTGTCATCGCCTGCTGGTGTGTCAATCTTAGGGATAGGGATACGTTCGAGGCTGGTAAGTGATGGCCTTGTCCCGGTCCTCTTCAGAGGCCCAGCGCGCTTCGCAGCGCGCCCGTCGCCCAGCACTGGGCCGCCTTCGGGCGATGACGGTCGTTCGTTCGTTCGTTCTCTCGGGCGAGGAGGAGGAGGAGGAGGAGGAGGAGGAGGAGGAGGAGGAGGAGGAGAGGAGGAGGAGGAGGAGGAGGGAAGAGGAGGAGGAGGAGGAGGAGAGGAGGAGGAGGTAGAGGAGGGGGGAGGAGGAGAGCCCCCGAGCCTCTCCTCGAGAGCCGCACCCCCCGCCCTGCTCCGAGAGAGCCGCGCCTCCCCCCTATCGGGGCCGGGAGCAGGCGCCCCCCCCCCCCCCCCCCCTCCGAGGGGCGGGGTGCCCGAGCCCGGCCACACGCAGAGGGCGGTTATCGGGAGCCTCCAGACGTCAGTGCAGACGGCTCCTCCTCCTCCTCCTCCTCCTCCTCCTCGTCCTCCTCCTCCTCCTGCTCCTCCTCCTCCTCCTCCTCCTCCTCCTCCTGCTCCTCCTCCTCCTCGGCGCCGGATCCTGCAGGATCCTGCGAAGACCCCCCCTCTGGCTGACCCGGATCAGCGAGCCGCTCGTGGCCGCGAGGCGGCCGCGCCTATTGGCCGACCCGGGTTTGCGAAGACCTGCGTTGCAGTTTTGTTTCCTGCATTACAGTTTTTGGCTTCCTGCCGACCCGGGTCTGGATTGACCCGGGCCAGAAGATCCCCGAGGTTAGGGTCAAGGCGGGCGTGTCCCTCTAGAGGAGGAGTGTTCAAGAATAGTAGAACAAATTGTCGGGGGACGATGCTTGAGTACTTTTGGCCATTTTCGAGTATTTTTGGAATACGTTTATAAATTTGTCTTTTGAAATCCGCCTGTCAGAGGACACGCCCGACCTGAGGTTTGGGGGAGGGGAGCAGGCTTATCAGAAGGAGGTTGCTTCTCGGAAGGCGCGGTCTTCATCTCTGCGCAAATGTACGGCTGGCGCCCTCCAAGAAGCAGCCTCCCTCTCAGAAGACTCCCCCCTCTGCCCGTATACCCCCGCTTGTGCACGCGACCAACCTTCCCCTCCAGAGGGCTGCGTGCCCAAACGCATACCCTGCGCGCCCTGGAACCTCTCTATAGAGCCCCAGGACGGCCCACGAGGGCCCAACCTCCGCAGAAGTCAGGAGGGGAAAACAACACAGAGACAATGAATCGTCGACTCCAAAGAAAACATGGGAAAACATCAGAATTGTGGGGGGAAGACGAAAATCCGGCAAAAAACTTGAAGTGTTGAGAATCATGGGATTTGCGTCTGCTCATTTGTGTGCCCCTGGGCCCCTTTAAGACGCGCCGCGATGCCAAGGCAGCCCCCACGACGGTCTCGGGTGGCTTCGAGACGGCCCACGCGTGGCCCCCACGAGTCGGACGTGGCTGGGGCGAGGAGGAGGAGGAGAAGGAGGAGGAGGAGTAGGACGAGGACAAATTAGTTCCAGAGCGTTCCGGAGCGCTCTGAGGAAGCCGCGGCGCCCGAGCCGTCCTCCGGAGCCGCCGGATCTCAGAGATTCCGGATCTCAGATCTAGCTAGCCGCGCTGCGCGCGGCGCCGGGCTGCGCAAAGCCGCAGTCCAGCTGTGCACTGCTGCTTTTGCTGCTGCCTTCTCGTCTTCTTCTCCTCTTTCTTACAAGCCACGGGGCGACCCTGTCGCGCAGGAAAAAACAATGTCCTCATCCGATGGCATCCTCGTATTATGATGTTCCAGCTTGCGTTGGCCTTGACCACCAGCAAGAAACTCGAGCACCAGGAAAGTATCGACACTGGGCGATTTTCACGTGTCGGGCCCTGGGAGGCGATACTCGTTCGGCACCTCGCCAGCGTGTCGGGCAGACACTGTTTCGAATTTTTTCGGGGTGCTCGAAGTTGTTTCTGGGATGTGGTCCGTAAGTGCTGTGGGAGCAACATGATCCTCGTCCTGGGCACCTGTTTTTTCAGGGGCTCGAGGTTCCTCGGGTCCTTCGGTGGCTGTTCCTCTAGCCCTCCTCGTGCACGCAGGCACTTGTGGTGCCAAAAAGGCAAAAACGGGTTTCGTTCCTTATTTAGTGTTCCTTATTTCAGCGGCCCGACCGTATAGGGAGTGTTCTGGAACGCTCTCCGAGCGTTCTGGAACGCTCCGATTTATGCTCACCCGATGTTCTCTTCGTCCTGGCTTCGTCTTACTTGTGTACCCTCGTGTTGTAGAGGTAAACAATTAGTGGACACTCCCCCTCTCCCCCAACTTCAAATTTGCACGCGCGGGGAAGACTGCTGTCGAAGTGCAACTCTGCCACCCACCGCCAGCATTGATCATTGGAAGGGGGACATTGGCAGATGATTGTGGCATCATGGTTTGAGAAGTTCCTCCGAGGCCTACTCCGTTTTTAGAGTGCACTGGCGTCGATTAGCTTCTGGTATTTGACGAGATAGCGACGACTTAGCGTCAGTTAGCACAATTGTGCACCAATGAGCGGCGATTTAGTGCCGATGAGCTTCGATTCGCAAGGGCCAACAAGATGGTATGGGAGCCTCTCGGTACCACCCGAACGTACTCCTATTAGGTTCGCGTCGGCCACACAAGGGCTCAGCGCGCGCTCGGAAATTCTATAGTCGAAGCTGCGCGTTGGGCGCCTTCTGGCCATACCA